AAAAGGCAGTAACATAGATGCTTTCACTCTGCTTGTGTTGCTGACTGTGTGGTGTACAACGTAGAATTATGACTCCCGTTCTGGATACAGAGTTGCTTAAAATTTTTAGAGTACTAGAAATATTGACATTAATGCATACGGATAAACCTTCTGACTTCTTAATACTGCTAAATCTCAGTTATTCAGATCTTATCACATGCAAAACACGTGATAGCAGCTGAACTTTTCACCCTCATTTACAACTGAAAACCGACACATGCCTCCTAACAAAACCATACTCTGGCATGAATACATACACAATGAAAGAGCATTTCTCAGAAGTACATATGTGGACAAGTGCTCTCAGTCCAAATTGCGTGGTTGACTTTAAAATTAAAATCTTACCATGTGGGATTTGGGATTTAATTTACTATATGATATACTGCTTGGAAACAAAAAATTCTGATATACTGCTTAGGAACAAAAAATTCAAATATTTTGAACCTATTTCACTCATGCATATCTTTTCAAAACTTCCATAAAAAATTGTTTGTGTCCGCCAGGTGATACATCTCACCCTAGCTTCCATCCGGATCCACCAATCTTTCCCTGTCATTCCACAGAAAGGGGAAAAAAGAGAAAGAATAAAAAAACTGAATCATCTAATTGCGCAGATCTTCCAAAAGAATATCCTCAATGCAGCCTAGCTCACATATAGTAAATGGCATCTACCTGTGTGGATTTGTGAATAGAAAATTCTCAATATAGCCTAGCTCAAAACTCTCTTTCTCTAATATGGTTATTTCTGAGAGATGAGAGAGAAAGGAGTTAATGCGATTATTTCAAAACAAGCCCGTGCAAAAACGCTGCCAAGAATGTACATTTTAGAAGATGAAGATGATTCTCCACATAAGGTTTATCATTTCTAGTTATTTTATAACATAGAAAAATAGATATAAATAATAATTGAATGTACTAACTAAAAGAACTTTTCTATCATCAAATGCAAGCAGTTCTGTAGGACCAGTAAAAGTGAAATAGAAAACAAGAGCAAATATAGACAAAAAATTACTTTAGAAGCTGCAGATGCTTGCCAGCGCTGGATTTCACGTAATCGACTCATCTCCAAGTCAAGAACTTGATACGTCTCCAGGTACAGGTCAGGTTGGCTATGCTTCATAGAATCAGGCAGCTGTGGTGGCAGTAGCTAGTACTTAGTATCAAAATAAAAAAGAAATACAAAAAGGAGGAGAAGTTTTGATTTTGTCAGCCATGATGAGATGGCTGACTTGTACTCTTGTTTTATTGGACTAAATGGAGATATAGCATTTCATAGTAAATTGATATGACAATGTGGTATGTACAGAGTACACTATATAGCAAAGATGGAGCTTATTTCTCATTCTAAAGTAATCCTTAAAGGTCTAGAAAAGTTGAAAAGAAAAGTGACACATAGTAAGCACTTATTAAGTCCATCTAAGTGATTTCAATCAAACTTCACCTAAAGGGTGTGCACTCCATTTGAATGTTTTGCATGCCACACGAAAGAAGAGTCAGTTCATTGCATTAACCTTGTAATTAGTCATGGTTACATATATTGCCCACTACCTTCAGATTCTCTTATCATATTAGATTTTGTGGCCTCACGTCAGTAGAAGCAAATCACATACAATCTAAACTCTTAGAATAATAAAAAAAATATCAATCTATCACTCTAATTAAACTTTGAAAATTACAAGTGTTTATAGACTCATAAGGAGTCTTAACATAACATCATGGAAAAATTTGAGCTGCTTAAAATTATACCATTATGTGTATGACTATTTAAAGATGGTGATACATGAGTGAAATAGTCATGGTGGGTATCTCCAGAGCATTAGTTTCATCAATGTCCATCACACAGTCTTTCTTCCATTCTACTCTCAAAAACAATATAGACCCTTTAGGTTTTTGTTTTAGGTTTCACAATGAAATTTCTGATATTATAACATTAAATATCATCTACAGAAGTCAAATATATCAAAAACTACATCGGGACTTTCTTTAAGGACTATCTTTACTACTGTCCCAGCCAAAGAGTAGGAAATGTGCAGTAATCTAGTTTATACAATTACCCATAAATATTTGGGCAGTCATGGAGGCTCCAATACTTGTAATAACTTCTTGGAGAAAAGAATACATATTGATGAAGGTGGCACTCGTTTAGTATACAGGCTAGAGACTAAACAAATACCAAAAGGTTGAAACTATTAAAAACATATAGACACTCAGTTTTCCACATTTCGTACTATGCCAGTATATACTGTTAATTTGCTGATAATTTATATTACACGATGTTAAGTATGAGAATGAAACTATTCCATTGTTGTGCAGTATGTTAAGTATTCATAGAGAAGAACCTGTGGAAGAGCCTTGACACAACTGCGATATGTATATAGCAAAGATGCCATCTCCCTTCCTTCTTGAATCAGGGTGTTCTGCTCATGCGAATTATCAATTACAACAAGAAATTATAATTGAACTTAAACATCAATCAAATGATAGCAATAGTAAGAGAATATATAAGCCCCTGATTCAAGGAAAGATGCAAAGGGAAAAGGGGAAAAAGCAAAATGCTAAACACTCTTTTCAGAGTCTATACTACTATATAAAGAACATTGTGAGGATAGTCAAAAAATGAAAGAGAGGTAGACATGCTCTCATTTCTATTATCATTGGGAGCACAAAAAGGAAATTTAACAATATGCATTTTTCTCTTTCTATTCCTCTCTCTTTTTTTATTTCTAGAACATTCCGTAGATACAAACCTTTTACTCTTTCTTCCTTTCTCTTTCCTTTTTTTTTATTTCAAGAATATTCCATACCACACTATGCCATGAACATAAGATTTGGGCCCACATAATTACCTTCATATCCATTATATTTTAGGCTCTAAAAGGAATACAAATGAAAATTATAAGTTTCTTTCAGGAGAAATAAGAATATGGGTAGCAAAAAAAGTCAAAGTAAAATTATAGGGTTTTTTGTTAAGTTTTTTACATTAGGTTCGTGCATTTTATTTTACAACAAAAATAAAAACTTATCTTTATCTATAGGATAAAAGGATATCTTCATGCTTTAAGATATCACATTATATCGGATCTACTACGTATTCTTGACATATTGAAATTTATTGAAAATAATTTTGCGTCTCTTGCACGTGCATATGCATGTGTGACAATGCTAGTACTTTGGGAAAATCAAATTAAGATCATTAAAATTCCTGGCACTTGGACTGAAGTCACGGAGGATATTAACAATGCAGAACCTGCTCATATGAGAATTTACAGACTGAAGAGCAAACATAGGCAGACTGCATTCGGCTTTGGTGGAGTACCAGCTTACATTCAGTGAGACTTGCAATGAACAACTATCCTACATTCCTGCCTGCATAACAACCTTGAAATTTATAGACCCACATAGAATGACCATTATAAGTTATAACTAATAATTACTTTATTGTTATTGGCATGTTGCCAGCTCCTAGGCTATAGCAGCCCTTCCAAGCGAAAAACTAAGTCAGTATGTCCACATGTCTTTGTGTGTGTCTGAGTGAGTATTAATTTCCCTATTGCATACAGCTCACTGATAAATCAGTCCAACAAATTGATGGAAAATACCAAATGAAGTCCAAGATAAAGCTGAAATAAAGCATAGCAGGATATTTTGCAAAATTAGTATAAAGAATAAAGCAGAATGCATCAGTTCAATGAGCTTTTGAATTTAATAAGCATTTCCCAAAATAATTTCTCAATACAGGAGAGAAATAACAGCATGGAACTGCAAATAAGTCTTCACCAATTGACAAATTATACTTCATGGAGTTGTATGTTCAATTATACTGAACAAAATGCATTCTTGACATGTTAAAGTATATCTACATTTTCCTCTGATGTGTTTTGACAGCACAGAATTGTCAAGTAAACCACCCTTGTAGACAAACATTTCCATTGTAGCAAGAACCAACTCGCAGAGCTGAAATGGTTGGTCTGCAGTCCCCAATTTACAAGTAAATTACATGTTCTACCTTGCTTAGTCATATCAAACTTTTGGGATTCTAGCAAACCCCCATGTGCCTAACCAAACTCAAGCTATTGGTTGATGTAAAAATAACAAATGAGTTGTCAATTATTATTTATTAAGTTACAGTATACACTGCTCACTGAGAACTCAGTGAAGAGCGATCCAATCAACATTATCTAGTTAGTGTTCTGAACCCCTCTCGCAACAAATAGAAATCTATGAATGATTAATCAATTGGGAAAGATGCATCAAGGTCAAATTTTCATGGGAGAGACGAGTCAAGGTGGGTCTTGAAATTGAGGCAAGGATGTTGAGATTTTCTTCATAGCTCAGTCACGAGTTGCATGTGCATGTCAAATGGATTGAGAAGGATCAACCTAAGTTTACTGTGTTCTAGGGGAATAATATCTTATAATATATTAAGAATAGGTACAAGCTATGACACCTGAGTCCCTGACATCACAATTAGAAAGGAGCAGACAGGTGGAAAGTTAGTAGAACTAGATGTCTGACCACTTTTTCGCCAACCTGGATATCAGTCTTTGGCCAAAACACAACAGCTACCACTTTACATGTGTTAGACATTCAATTAATCTAATTAATTTAGAGGGTTTCTACAGAGCAGTAATGTTCAGTGAAAACTGCTGATCTTTTAAATATGACAGGGAACTCTCACCTTTATATCAAATTAGCAGAGTGCATGATACTGTGTTCAAACACTCCCTACGGGACAAACAAGACTTTTATATATGATAACTTGTTTCTTCTCAAAATATTTGTCTACATGCTATCGATGCTATCGCATGTCAGATACCCTTTTGATGCCCATGATTAGATATTCAAGAGAAATAAATCAGAAAGAGAATCATAATCCATTGAACTAGACTGTCTCACACGATCAAGAACCACGTTAACCACACCTTAATAAGGCCATTCTCACTCATTGCTGCAAAGACCAGCATTCTCACTATTCTCTTTCATGTACTTTCATCCTTGTAAGAACGAAGCATTGCTAGAACATTTACTTTCCTATTTTTCTTATTTTACTTTTTTCTTGCTCTACAGATCCCACATGATCTATCACTTCTGACAAAGTAAACAACTGTTACAACTAGTTTCGTGTTCACGTGTTCATATCATGTGAACTAATTCAGTGAGGCCATAAGCATGATCTACGTTGTTAACCACACAAAGAACTCGACTTCTCGCACATTCATACCAAGTTATCTACCAAGTACACCCGTTCCAGAAACAAACGACAAGTAGTTTTGAAGCTTTGCTGCTACTTTCTCCAACTTTCTTCCCAGAAATGAAAGTAGTGAATTCCTGAATTGTTTTAATTCAGTTAGGAAATTGAAAGTTCATATCCTTGCATGGGTACATACTGATTTTCCATAGTGACGCCATTCATTTCATGACAAGACAATCCTTAATTCCTCTCAAGATTCAAACTTTTGATTGATAAAACTAGGAGTGATTACATCTCTCATGCATCATCGATATTTGCTTATCTTAAAAGGGGCTAGTCAGAGTGATGGGAAGGTTTTAACATCTGCTCATATGCCACGATAAAAGGAGCAACTATAGTAACATTGATATACTGGAAGATTGGTAGTAACTCTCAGCAGTTTGCATGAATTTCCTATATATCTGACTGCACAAAGGCCTTTGTTCTTTTCAGAGGGAGGGAGGAGGGAGGGAGCTTTCTAATTCTTAAGAATCAGGAAGTGTGCCAAGTCAGCTTATAAGCAAAAGTCATGGCTTCATGGTGAACTTATTTCCCTTAGTCAAGCTATGTCCTCTTATACTAGAAGAAGTTCAGGATTATCACATGGTTGCATAATATAAAACACATGTTGAAAGTGGTTGATTGCCACTCCTGAGAATAATTGCTCTAACATTTATGTATCTGAACAACAAGTGTCTTTGTATGCTGGGAATAATGCATGTTACAGAGACGCGCCATTGGGCGTCATAGACAGTTTATGAACACTTTAAAGGTAACTGAATCGCTGATATAACAAGAATAACAACATAGATACAGAATGCAGTTATTAATTATAAAGTAGTGAATTAATAGCAGCTAAATACAAAGACTAGAAATTGAAATGGTACTAATAGGTTAATTGTTAAAGATCAGAAATGTAACATACCAACTGGTTAATTGCTTTTGTATCCTCCGCCAAAGATAAGCGATAGGCAGAAACATCACCATATTCTACATGACATAGTTCCAAAAGATCAAGTACAATAAAACTTCGATAATATCCCAAAATCAATAACAAATTAAGCATAATAAATGCCACTGTATCCATGTACTGTTGAATAGTACAGGTCAGCTGTCAGCAGCAATTGCATCATACATGTCAGGTTCATGTCATGCCATCAGAAATAAAAATTGAGTTTTAAACAACATCATTACGTTTATACAAGCTGAAGAAAGAGGAGATGGAGAGAACAATTGTTTACGGTAAATATGCAAACTTAAAAATGACTACATCTATATTATATTGAAAACAGCGAGTTCAGTCTTTGGATTCGTCACTTTTTAAACTTCTTGAATACCCTTCAAGCCTGCCATTTTCTGTATTATTTTTAATATATCCATACTCCATCAGTACATATTTTCTTTACGTATATCTAGAATTTCCAAAAAGTACAAACTGCTACCTAACGGTTCAAAACAGGTAGTAAAGAATAAAAACAATCATAACTCCAGACTTTTTAAGTACAAGCAAGGGACTGCTAGAAGAGAGAATAGACTTGGGGAAATTTTGAAAATTTTCTTTTCCAAAACAGCCCGAATGACATAAAATGTCTGAGATATTATCTGGCATGAGTACTAGCTAATTGGTACTAGTACGAAACAAATCAATCCAGAAAAAAGAACATGGAAAGACGTGTCTGATAAAATTTTCTTACACTTGAAATATTAGAAAACCTTCTAAGATGGGTATGGACTGATAAACATTTTCAAAAAAATTGTATATTGCATGGACCGTGTCTTGGTGGAATGTCATCGGGGCTTTTGATGTGAGTCTAGAGAGGGAAACTAGTTGGGCGCATTTGGGGAATATAAGCAGATATTATTGTTGGTTCATTTTGAATTCACATCATCGCATTACTTCAGTTAACAACCCCAGAATCTTATTGAACTTAAAAAAAGACGAACAACAACGTAGGCAAGGGCCATCAAACTTAACCGGCAAAATTCACAATTATTCTAGGAAAAGGTACTTCTACAAACATTTACATTTCACGAATTGATATTATTTGAGAAAATTACCCTACTTGACTACTTCAAATACATGCATGCACCCCAAATCACAAAGTGGCATTAGCCAGTTCAGTACATCCAGATCAGAATGACTCATGTTGACCAATAAGTATCAAAATGACTCTTAGATGGTTGGACCCAACAACTCCCATTCAAGCAAATCAAAATAAAATATAATTAATTTTATACAGATATTACATAGTTTAAAAAGTTTCTAAAAAACAATCCAATTTAAACCCCCACATAAAATAGGACAAATTTTCAAAATAGACCTCTTTAGGAAATTATTTTTAAAAACGACCCATTTGAAATTTATTTGCCATTTTCGACCTAGTTTCAGCCACCTGGCTGAAACTGGGTCGAAAATGGCGAATAAAATTTGAAAACTTCACGGGATTTAAAATCATGTGAAGTTTAAAGGCTAATTAACATTCATACACTAAGGGCTAATGAGATAGCCATATCTTCACGAGATTTCTAATCCCGTGAAGTTGTAGGCGCCACTTCCAGAGAGCACGAGCTCTCTGGCAAATGGGCATGCAACATCACGGGAGTTATCACGAGATTTGAAATCCCGTGAAGTTGCGGTAAGCCCACACCCACACCAGTATTTAACTCTCCCCTCTACATAATCTCATTTCACGTTCTCTCTCTCTCCACCCATTTCTCTCTCTCTTTGTTCCTTTACCCCCAAACCCTAGATCCATCTCCCGTCGCCGCCCCCGTCTCTACTGCCGCTGGCTAACTTCGCTCTCGCCCTCGCCGCCGCCGCCGTCCTCTTTCAGGGCTAAAAAGCGTCGGAGTTCACCGGAGTTCACCGGAGTTCGTTGGATATCAATTTTAGGGCATCAACCACTTTTCGGAAAAATCTTTAAACTTTTTTGTTTTTTCTCCTAAATTTTTACATATTCTTACTATTTCATGCTAATAACTTGTTTAAATTTAGATATTGGAATAATTTTTAAAATATTTACGAATTTTGTAAGGAAAAAATAAAGAAATTTGTATATGAAGTTAGAGGGGAAATTAGGGAAATTTTAAAAATTAGTGTATTATTTTTCAAATTTTAAAACTAATATTGTTTAAATATTTAAATTAGGCAATCGTAAAAATATAAAGGTTTGACATTTGGTAAAAATCATGGATGTGTAAAATTAATATTAGAGGATTTAATTGTAAATAATATTTTTTGTGTTTTTCGTATAATATTGATATTGAAATTTTTTTACTCTTCGGAGGTAACGATGAACGATTGAATCGTAATTCTTTATTCATATGATGGGAAGATTAACTATCTCCAGAATAATATGCATGTATATGAAGGAAGTATGACAAAACCATTGTTTATATCTAAATCATTTACTTTCGATAGTTTAGATAATAACTTACACAAACTTACATTAATCAATCCACGTTAGTATCACCTCAATGTGATTTGTAATTATCCTATTACAGGGAACAGAACAAGCGGCATTCACATCTCAAGTGACTACGATATGGGTCTCATTGAAATATTGTATGACGAGAAGCATTCAGTAAAATTATTTATTAAAAAGCATCACAGAAATTTAGGCAAATCGGTGAATAGCGATGAAGTATACTCTCGCATGTTGGAAGACTTCGAAGTTGACTCCACCGATTTTGTCTCCGCAACAGGAAATGGAATGGACACAACCACAATACTTGAGTAGTCCTTCGTTTGTGAGCACTTAAAATGTCCTCGATGATAATACTCTCCATCAAGATATAATGTCTTTCACAGAGCTGACGATAGCAGATGATAATGCAAGTGTCGAATCCGAGAATGATGACGAAGAGGATGACTTACAATTTTTTAGCATGACGTGCTTGATAGATCATGATGAAGGGGGCGACCAATTAATTGACCGATATTATTCTAACAATGTGTATGTTGTATTAGAGGACCCGTCGCCCGATGAACTTTATGAAGATGGATGGATTGATGACTCCATAATGGAAAATATTCCTATTGACACTAATTTAAATTTAAATGATGATGCACAAGGCGAGAACTTCTCATTCAGAAAGGGCAATCTATTTAAAAGCAAGGAGAAATTGATTCATGCGCTTCATTTGTGGGCCATCAAAAATAATATCAAGTTTAGACAAACGAAAAGCAATGCAACAAGCTATAATGTAGTTCGCAAAGACGGTGAGGAAGAAAATAGTGGTGGGCACCATCACGAAAATAAAAAAATGTCCCTGGAAGCTTAATCCACGTTTGGGGATAAGAGTAGGCGGGCAATTTAAAATAACACGCTACAACGGACTTCACACATGTAGCACTTCTCGATTAGAGATGAATCATAAACATGTGTCCGCCTCTTTCATATATCGATTGATTATGCCTAAACTAAGGGAGAATGTTAATCTAAGGCCAAAGGATATTCGTATTGTGGTGCATAAAGCGACCAACTTGGATGTATCATATAACAAGTGTTGCATTGCTCGGAAGAAGACGATGATAAAAAATATTCGGAGATTGGAACAAATATTATGAGATCTTACCATATTATATTGAAGCACGCAAAAAAAATTCGAGGACAACGTACAAAGTATCATCAGATCCTATTGACAGTGGAGATAGACGATTCATAGGGGTATTTTGGACATTTAGGCTTTGCATTGAAGGATTCAGATATTATCACCCTATTCTTAACATTGACGGCACCCACTTGTACGGTAAATATAAAGGTGTTTTGCTCGTTGTAACTGGAGTAAACGTAGATGGCGGTTTATGTTCTTTGGCATTTGCAGTGGTTAATATTAAAAACACAAAAAATGGGCATAATTTTTTGCATGCATCATATCCCTAGTGTGCGAACGCAGTCGATTACATTTATATCTGATAGGATGAAAGGAATTCCAATAGCACTCCAACGATATTTTCTCTCCGCATCAACATCGCTATTGCTTACAACATATTATGGACAACTTCAAGAGAAAGCATGGACAAGTGCATCTTCAGGATCTTCTTTGGCAAGTTGGACGTGCAATGAAAATATTAGTTTATGAGCAACTACGGGAAAAGATTAAGTCAATTTCACAAGTTGCACATGATTAGATCGAGACTAGTTTGGGTCCGAACAATGTCGATAAGTGGGCCTTATGTGAAGATAGCGGGAAACAATTTTGTATGATGACCACTAATGCTTCTGAGAGTTTCGATTGTGTACTTAGGGGAACACGCGGTATGCCAATACAGTCATTATTGTAAAAATATTTTACAAACTTAATAAATTCTTCCTCAAACGATGCATACTTGGAGCAAATATACTGTCGGAGTTGACGCCGAAAGTTGAAGGCATTAGCATATCAGATTGTGCAGGCTCGATTATTTCGTGTCGTTAGATACAATTTTAATGCATGGGAGGTCATTGAGGGAATATCACATAGAGAAAATCGCTCTTACAAAGTTAACATACTAGTGGATCAAACTTGTACATGCACTTGTAATATACCATAATTACAATGACTTCTTTATTCCCATGTTGTAGCAGCTTGTTCGGATCTAAGGGGGTGCGAGGATATCACATTATACATTCGTCGCAGATTGGTATTCAACTTATAACTATCAACATCCAAAGAGTGTTTTCACCCACCATACGATAGTCGACATTGGACACAAGGCGAGCCACGAATATTAGCTCCTGTTTATAAGAGATCAGTTGGGCGACCTCGTTCCGTACGAATTAGAAATAATATGAATGATGGACGAGAAGGAGTTAGGAGGAAAAATAAGTGTAGTAAATCCGATCAACAGGGCCACAATAAAAATAGTTATCCAACTAGGCATAGACGTTGATTATTTGGGGCTTAATTGTATGAAATATATCGCTTATGGCTTTTATAATATATATAACCTTTTATTTTTAATCTAGAATATGTGACTATCGTTGTGCATGTTCTATTCTTATTTTTCTTTTCTATGCTAGATGTAATCTTTACTTAATATTGAATATTGAATACATATGATTAAGTCATTCAACTGAAAAAAATCTAATATCTTGTATTTTAATTGTAGAGATATCCATTATGGATTCGGGACCGATGCAGCCCGACGTATTATACCTACAGACAGATCATCATTCCCACAATATTGGCTTAGGACAAATAAAAATTATATATATATTTCTTATTTTTGACGCTAGTTTTAATTTTTATATTTTTTAAAAAATTCAATTTTGATTAATGTGCAACCCATGGTAGAAATCAACATAGTGGGTCATCCCCAGAGTCACTTGGGCTGGGAGATGAAAGATAATCGAGTACTACAGTTGATAGCTCAAGCCGGGTTTTGGGAGTGTTCATCGGTGAGATATATTAGGCTTGACTGGACTTTATCAGTGTCCTGATTAAGAGGTGGAGACCGGAGACCAACACATTTCATATGCATATAGGGGAGTGTACCATTACACTTCAGAATGTAGCCGTCATACTTGGGCTCTGTATTGATGACACTGTTGTTACGGGCACCGATGATCATAATTAGGTCAAAAGTATATGAGAGGCTTCTTGGACAGGTTTTCGATTTGAGGAGTGGTGCGATGAAGCTATCGTGGCTTCGATTGATATTTATGGGAGATATACCGGTTGACCTCACGGATGAGACGATTCAATATTATGTTTGTGCTTACATATTGCACATGATAAGGTGTATGGTATTTCCTGATGCGAGCAAGAATCTTGTACATGCACAATAACGGCCACTACTTGAGGATTTTAATGTATGCGGCACTTTATCATGGGGTAGTGCGGTGTTGGCATATATTTATAGAAAACTAGGCTGGGTCTCCTTGATGCAGAATATAAAAATCAAGGGGTGCATGTCATTACTACAGGTTTGGTCGTGGGAACGAATTCGTATTGGACAACCTACTTTGCATATGCACTGCGATCTATAGGGCCAATTTCTTTGGGATGTAAGTATAATTATGCGTGAATTTAAATTTATTTATCTCGCCTAATTTTATTCATATTGAATTTATTCACATATATTCATTATGCTAAATAGGTATAACATGAGGTACTCTAAACACAAAATCGTGACTATACATATAGAGTTTTACAAAAATGAACTTGATGGCCTCTAACACCAACAAGTAAATATAAAATTCAATTAATTATTTATATTTTAATTTTTTTGTAGATGTTGATTCAAGTTTTTTTTAAATTTCAGTTCAATTGGATGTCTTATTCTCCCCCATATCTCGATATGCATACCCTTGCACTTATCTGTAGAGATAGTGTTGCTTTGTGAAGAGTCGGAGTCTCGTTGATATGTTGAGAGATTGTAGAGATGTATGTCCCAGATCGTGTGTTATGGTAATTTCTTCTTTCTCAGCATGTGTCGGATCCTGTTAAGCAAATCGATTGTAGACGACGGATGACATCGCATCGTACGGACTGGGCCATATTCCGTGCGGCCTACACAGATAGGTGGAATAATAGGTGGAATTTCATACAGAATGAAAGAATTTCAGCATACGATTATACTACGTATATGCATTGGAATATCACAAGCAGATGGATAGGACGCGACTCACAACTAGCAGCTGGCCGATAGATAGTTACATTCCTAGTGCTATGATCGAGAGGGATTATGTAAGTTTTTAAACTAAATTAAAATGGCAATTCTTTTTTTTGTCAAGATATTATTTGTTAAGTTGTGTATATATTGATTAAATCGCAGATCCATGCTTTTGATGAGAGATTATGTAAGTTTCTAAACTAAATTAAGACGACAATTCTTTTTTTATCAATATATTATTTGCTAAGTTGTGTATATATTGATTAAATCGCAAATCCATGCTTTTGATGAGATCGAGGCCGATATAAATGAGCATATTACTGAGATTTAAGATCCAACAATGTTAGGGATCTTCAATAGGATCAAACAGATAATAGCAAATGTGTTTCATAAAAATCATGTTGACGAGTTTGAAGAACGTGAGGACAGGTCATACCAATTTGGTAAAGTGTACATGTGAAGACGTAGGACAGGTCAAAGGGGGTGCGTGATGATGGAGCCGGCACTTCTCATAGTGTGGCGCGTGCTGATGGAGCCAGCACTTCTCAGCCTCATATACAACCGAATACTCAGATTATCGAAACTCATCAGCAAGGACATAAGGGGCAGGGATGGGGGGAAGAGTAAGGGGAAAGGGTAAGAGAGAGACAGGAAGGAGGGGAGGACTTTTAGGATGTATGTGAAATTTGATTATGAATTTTAAGAATATATATAGTTAGATTGTTCAAATTTGTTGCGAGTGTGGATCACTTTGTGTTTATATATGTGATTTTCGTGTGTATTGTTTTGATTTATGGTTGGATTTTATGAATATTGTTGTAATTCAGTATATATGCGGCAAATTTGATGTTTATGGTTGGATTTTTATGTATATTGTTGTGAATGAGGCAGAAATTTTATTATATACAATAGATTTTGGATTGTGAAATTTACAGGCTCATTAGGTGGAACATGCACTCTGTGCATGTTTTGGGCCTACCGCAACTTCACGGGATCTCAAATCCCGTGAAGTTGCAAGCTCATTTGCTACAAAGCTCGTGCTCTCTGGAAGTGACGCCTACAACTTCACGGGATTTAAAATCCTATTAAGTTTTAGCTTCACGGGATTTGAAATCCCGTGAAGATATGGCTATCTCCTTAGCCCTTAGTGCATGGAGGTTAATTAGCCCTTAAACTTCACGGAATTTTAAATCCCGTGAAGTTTTCGATCTTTATTCACCGTTTTTTACGGCTGAAACTGGATCGAAAATAGCAAATAAAATTCAAATGGGTTGTTTTTTTAATATAAATTCCTAAAGTGGTCTAGTTTAAAAATTTATCCCATAAAACACCATAAGTAAACTTTTGGTGCAAGGCTAATTGGCACCTAAAGGCCTCAAAATTTCACCAAAAATTCACTTTAATACCCTTAGTTGTACTCTGTCGCACTTATATACCCTAAAGTTTTCCTCAGAGTCATTAATATTTTGACATTATTCCGAAATGTACAGCTTAAATGAACGCAGTCATCACATATAAAGGCAAATTGATTTAAGCAACAAGCTCAATTGACTGATCTAAACAAATCAAAATTAAACAAACAAATCTCTTACCTATAGGGCTATTCGTCGCGCATCTCTCAGTAGAAATCAAAACAGCAAGCCCCTGCAGATCTGGTTGCTCGTCCTAACATCCCAAAACAAAAATCGAACAAATCAATTCATAATCACATTACATTTTTAAAACCCCAGATTTCACAGGACAGAAAAGAGATCATCAAGTACCTCTAACGAGAAGGTGGAGAGAGCAGCAATGGCTTCTTCCACTGGAATCGCCATGAGATTCGCCCAAATATGAGCGCGGATTTTTGAAGAAAGATGATTTTTTCCCCCCTAAAACCCTAGATTTGAGAGGACATAGATTCCGGGAGTTGTTCGAGCTCGAAACTCCGCCGAGTTGTCCCCGTTGATGTCCGGAGCACGTTTGCTGGAACTTGAGAGTGGGTAGTGGAGGTTTCGGAAAGGGGCTGGTGGGTTGGAATTAATTACTGAAATGCCATTTAGGGGTGTGAGCCTGTGAGGGGGTTGGTTTTGCTTAGATTTGAAGCGAAGCGGTTATCATGAGTAGTGGGTCCGACCCACTTGTTGATTTGACGAACTGTTTATTAGAATGGGTTTCTTCGATATTAGTCCCTAGATCCTTCCTACTTTATAATTAGCCGCCCCAATCCTGATTTTTTGCTATTAGTCCACCAATTCTTTAAGCAGTTGATATCCCAAATCTTCATATTTGGAACTACTAGTCCCCCAAATCTTTCAACCAGCTTCTAACTAGGACTGATTTTAAGCTATTTAAAATATTTGGGAGGCTACTCTCAAAGTACAAAGATTTTAAGAGCTAATTTCAAAACACTTAAAGATTTTGGGTATTAATTTCAAAATATGAAAGATGGGGAGGATTAATATAGAAAAAACCTATCAGAATTTGTTGGGTTTATTTCTATTGTATTAGGGGACGTTTGGGATTTTTAATGTTTTGTTTGGTTCAGCATTATTACAGAAAAAGAAAATCCTAAATTTTGTAATATCTTGTTTGGTTCAAACTCAAATTATAGGATAACAAATTCTTAAAAAGAAAATAATGTGAATATGCTCAACTTTGCGAGGTTACCTCCCACAAAAAAACAAAATACAAAGGTATAAAAAGAGTTGAGGTTACCTCCCACAACAAAAACAAAATATAAAGGTAAAAGAGAGGTAAGCATACCCATTTATGAGACTTGCCAAATCCTCTCCAATTGAGAGAATTTGGCAAATTCTAAAAATTGAGTACTTTTCTTATTTTTGGGATTCAACATTCTAAATTTTTTTTGAAACAAACATCAAATATGAAGTAACAAAACATTAAAAAAACTCACTTTTTTATCCCAAAACTAGTAATCCACACCAAATGTCAAAATTTTGCTTGAACCAAACGCCCCCTTAGCAATTGAAACTCCTTTCCACAGAGGTGGGGCATTTGTTTGCACAGGTGCGATGTAAAAAAGCGAAGTTAATTCAACGTTGGATCGCCTCTGGTGTTAGTTTTATTAAAAGCAACTACAAAAATTAAAATGCAAAAAAAGTATTCATGTTAGATCTAATGCATATTTCACTTCCTATATAAACAGTATCGAAGCAAGTGTGGAAGAGAAAAGTGGTTGACCATTGGTAATGAATTTAAGTTGTTAATATGTCATTGAAAGCGAAGTATTTTTCTGGATAAATAAAATAAAAATTATTACCACATCATTTTCACCTTTTTTTTTTAAGATTGAAGAACAACTCCTTGAACCAAACATTGTATTTTGACGTGGATACACGCTTACACTTGTAAAAATGATATACTTAGCTCAAATGGTGTTCTTAGCTCGGATAAGGCCAAGGCATATCATTCCTAACTTTCTAACATGTTACATACATACGTAATAGAGTGTATTATGCACATCACATCCCCAATATATTTGTTAATTCTAACAAGCGTCAACATATGAATTCGTGAGTAAGGAGTCTAGTTTAAATAAATTGGGCCTTTATGCAATTTGTTGAAACTTGTGTTTTCGTAGCAGACCTTGATTGGGCTGGGCCTAGGGGTGGTAAACCATATTCGTATCCGAGGAAATATCTGTAATCATATCTGTTAGGACTTAGGATACATATATAGTTACTCAAATCTATAGCCGATAAGATATGTTTACGGATATGTTTTTGTAGTGAAATATTCATATCTGTATCCGAAATATATATATACATATTAGTCATACTCTCACTATAGCTTCGATTCTTAGATAATTGATTTATGGTTAATTTTGATGATCAAGATGTCTAATTTTAGTTTTTTAGTTATAATGAACATATTAACGAACTCTTTTGTATCACATTAACAATGTTTTTCTCAATACTATCTAGTTTTCTCATATCCATTTTGTATCTAGATACATATCCACTTATATATCCACATATGTATCCATAACTGTATCTAATTTTAGCGGATATGGATATAAATTTTTCTTGGCGAGATATATTTGTATCTGTATCCGTATCCGAGATTGGTAAGCGGATATGGGTATGGTACGCATCATATCTGAGTCGTATCCGGACCGAATGCATCCAAAGCTGGGCCGCTAGCTCTCAAATTTTCAGGCTGAAAGGGCAAAGCTAAGGGGTTATTGGTTGGTGTAATTATGGGGTAAGTGAGATAATTTTTATGACTTTACTTTATAGCATTATTCATTGGGACATTCGGAGTTGAATTTTACTTTAAGGTATTATTTATTAGGACAATGAGATTGGGACAATTATCCTCATTTTTCCCCAAAATTACCCTACTTCTATACAAACTTTTTGTCCCAACTCCATTCTTAACTTTGGAATAATCATGGAGAAAATAAGATAATTTTGAAGAATTAATTTAATAAATATCTAATATATGTTAATTGTATCGTATATAATATATCTTAAATATATTATACTATAAAATTATACTATAACGCAAGATAATGAAATATTATATCATATTATCTAATCTAACATTATTACCTATTAGCTAATAATATTTTATAATTGTAATATTAGTATTATATTATTATGATATTATTGTATATTATTTAATTTATATTTTATTAGTTATAATACAGATGTTATTGTTGTATTTTTATGATATAAAATATTATATTATAATACCGTATTTATATATTTAAAAGTGAATCTAAGGTGACACAGCGGATCGCAAAAAAAATTAGGAAATGATGTGATTCTAGGCCGCGTCCTTAGGTGGGAGCCTAGGGTGTCACCTTAGATTCACTTTTCCCTTAATATAATAATATATTATAATATAATTTAATATGATAAAATATTCTATCATATTATAATATAATTTAATATGATAATATATTCTATCATATAGAATATTTTAATTTATATAATAATTTACTATTTTTTATCACACTTTACTATATTAATTAATAGTCTTAAATACATTGTCAATATTGTGGTAGTTATAATAGTAAATAATATTTTATTGCTACAATAAAATTAGTAATAATCTACTATATATTAAAGTATGATATTATATTATAATAAATATGCTCTAAAATTAATATAATATAATAATATTAAATTTTATTAATAATACAAAATTGTTATAAATTATATTATATTAACTAAATATATATCATTCACATATTATATTAAATATATTTTTCTTATATTATATCAATTACTATATACTATATCACATTATTATAATATAATATAATAATTATTAATATTAAACATAGTTATAATTAATTAGTAATTATGATATAACATGTTATATTTTAGTATGAAGTAAACTAATGTACTATCTTTTTATAACATGGTAAATAATATACTACACCGATTGCATAAATTAATTTAGACTTAATTGATAAATAAATATTATGTTTTAATAAGGTGTCATATCATCAATTATCCCACATGAATTATCAAATCATAGCTTCAAATTGTCTCATTATCCAAACTTGTCCCACTTTACCCGACTCAAAAATATCCCAAAGTGATAAATTATTCCATTAAAACAATTATCCCACTTAACCCCAAGTTATCCCCATCAATAACCCCACAAGGAGCATAATATGACTGTAGCCTTGCCGCCGAGCAAGTGTAATGAAATTCGTATTTCCCATACCCATTGCTATCGTTTAAAGGAAGCTCACATTTTGATCATGTGAGTCATACTTGTAAAAAACTTAAAAAAAAAACCCTCAAAACCTATGTTCTTTCAATTACGTCTAAATATTTGTTAAGTTCAAGCGCTTGTCAAAATCCGACGCTAGACACATCATGAGGTTAGAAAATATTTGTTATTTCCGACTCCTCCCAGCCAAGCATATCCTGGAGTAGCAAAAAGATAGCACCCACACGTTCCACAATTTCAATACTCGTCATGTTTTCATGTAAGGCATCACGCATCGCCTTCAACAGAAAACATGCCTCCTGACCACTTTTTATTTTGGCTTCTAAACAACTAGTGTGTGCCCCGTGCAAAGCACGGCATATATATTTTTTATTTTTGCTACAATAATTTTGTATTTAAATATAATTTTTGTAAATACTACAGTAACATTTATAAATGCTATGGTATCCTACCTGAGCTATAGTAATGATGCTACAATAATGTTTTTAAACGTTGCACTTCTAGCATGTGCTATAGTTGTAATGCTACAGTAATTATGTTGTATGAATAGTGGACCTGGGATTATCATGTTCCTGCTACAGTAACAACGCCACAGGAATTTAATGCAGTAATTACTGTAGCATGAATAGTGAATCTTGAATTCTCCCATTATTATAGAGAAATGGATATATATCACTGTTATGGTGTTCGCTTACCCTAGATACAGTATTCACAAATGATACGATGAGAGTCCTAGTCAACTCCCAAGAGTTCTAGGTATTTCAATTCCTCGGTCGAGTATCAAGCCCTTGGCTCTTTATTAAGTTAAGCCTAAGGCACCACATATGGTCGAATCCTCGAGTACAACTCGATCATCATGGCTAGATTACAAGACCTTGGTACCTTACCAAAGTATAAACCCAAGGCACAATTACAAAGGTCTCGGCCCCACCGACTCATCAAGTCGACACTCTGGTGTCGACACAAGAGGCGATACTAGCCGATATGAGAGATCTTGACATGCCAAACGAGTCGACATCTTTATATCAACCGGAAAGGCGGATATTAAGCTGAGATAAGACGTCGTCTCACTCAGTCGGACAAACCGACACTCCTAAGTTGACACGAAAAGCGGTGCCGGTCGACCCTTTTATCAAGGACAATCCTATTTAAGGCACTCGACCACTCACTAGGCATTCCTCAGAGACGACTTAAGGGATGTTCCCTGCTGTCAATTAAGTT